GGCGCCTGGCTCGCCCCCCCCCCGTGCTGCGCTCGCCCCGCCCCGCCGCCCGCCCCGCCCCCGCGCGCTTTGTTTTTCGGGCTTCGCCCGGGCGAGGCAGGCCCCTCCCTGCCGGGCGTTGCGGGGCGGGGGGGCTCCGCGGCGCCCGTCCCCCCGCGCGGGACGGCTGCGCGCACTGGCCCACGTGGGCCCGCCGGGGAGGCGCGGGCGGCGGAGGAATACCCCAGCCGCCGCTCCCGCTCGCGCGCCCTGCGCAGCCCGCGCGCCGAGCCGAGCCGAGCCGCACAGGTGCTGCCGCTGGCCGGTTGCATGCTGGGGACTGTAGTTCGCCCGGCTTGGCTCTGCAGCCGAATCTCCTTAGTCAAGGTGAGGCTGAAGTTTGGCTGACGTCACCCCCTGGCTGCGCCCGTGAGAAAGTCTGAACCGGGCTGGGATCCTGTCCGGGCAGGTCACATCCCTCGGGAGGCCTCTGGGGCTCCGGTTCGCGGTTGCGTCAGCACCTCCGGCGAGGCGCCCGCCAGGCCGGCCCTCCGTGGGCCGGGGAGCAGCCGGGCATCTCCTGCGGGCTCTTCCTGTGTGGGCACTGCTCGCCCTGCAGCTCCGGGCCAGCGGACGCCCGGAAGGGCACTGCCCGAATCTTTCCTCTTGGAGGTGGTGCCTTCCCGGTGGGTTTGCCCGCCTCTCCCGGAGCCCCAGCCACGTCCCTCAGGCCAGAGGTGCAGTCCGGCGCAGCCCTGCGACGCCAGACTCGAGCTCCGCAGCAGTCCCCGAGCCCGCACGGCGCGCTCGGAAGGGTCCGGACTCGCCCCCAGTGTGACCCGAGTCCGGCACCTTCGGGTGGCCAGGCTGAGAAAGGCCCTGCGGCCGGGTGGAGCAGAGCAGTGGCGTGACTGCGCAGGCTGCCGCGGAGCCCCCCGGAAAACGCTCCCCTGGGGTTCTGTGCGCTGCTCTGTACGTCACCACGGGCCCAAAGTCATGTTGCTGCCTGAGGGAGCAGCTGGGCCGGCGAGGCGCCCCGGGATGCTTCGCCACCCGACCGTGCAGCGGCATGCGGCCCGGGAGGCGTGTGGAGCGGTGAACGGGCGCTCCTCCGAGGCCGGGCACGCAGGCGGCCGCCCCAGTCCATGTCAGAACCAGCCCGAGCGCGTCGCATCTCCACCGGGATCGGCCTTTTCTAAGGCTGCCGAGCCTCCCCAGGGCAGGGGGCTTTGTCTTCCGTCAGGGAGCGTTGTCGCGTGGAGAATCCATTTTCTGCCCGGCCACGGTGGGGATCGTGGCTGCGCCCGGAGTGCCCAGCAGGTCCTGGGGTGGGGGGCTGCCCGTGCGACGGCCCCGCCAATCGAAAGGGCCCGGCGCTCTGACTCGGCGTCCTGCTCCCTCTGGGCACGTGCCAGGCCCCTGTGTGATGCGGCAGAAGAGCCGAGAGCCCCGTCTGGATTGGCACCGCCGCACTGCTCCCGTCCCGCTGCGGTTGCTGGCGCCCCGGCCTGGAGAGCCTCCGGGCAGCAGGATCAATACGTGGGCAGAGACCAGAAGCACCGCTGAGCCGAGCCGAGCCGAGCGAGCAGTCCCTTCGGGGGCAGCGTGGGCGTCCGGTACAGACAGGCAGGCGAGGGTCCGCAGCACGGGAGACCCGTCCGGAAAAGCTGCAGGGTCAGGAGGAGGGCGGGCTCGCAAGGAGCTGCACGGGGCGCGTTGCTCTCGCGAGCAGCAGGTCTGGACGGAGAACTTGCTGGCCAGTTTCCCAGGCCGCCCTCGGGTGCAGTACAGCACGTGCAGGTTCCTGGCCCCGCAGCGGCTCCTCCCGGGCCTCGGGGGGATGGCTGCCCCACGGCCCGCTTGCTCTGGGCCCTGTGGCACAGGAGATGGCCGCCCCCGAGAAGGGCCTGCGCCTCGCCTGCTGGCGGCGGGCCTTCTGGGGCTGGGGGGCGACTGCCGCCCGGACGCCTTGCGCTAGCCCTCCTCCGAGGACGGGCTCGGCGCGGCCTCTTGCGAGGCGGGGTTGGCCGGCACTGGTCAGGCGGTGGGCTGTGAGGTTCCCCCGTACGGATTGTGCTGCCGCTTGTGTGGTCGGCCGGGCTTGGCGAGGGCTCGCTGGCGCGTGGCCACGGGGTGGTGGGCGCCACGCACACGGGGAGCTCTGTGCCGTGTGCGAGAGCCTGCGCCCGAAGTGCCGTTGCGCCTGCTCCTTGGGCTGCAGAAGGGGCTTGCCGGCCCAGCTGTGGGGGGACAGATGGGGAGCACCCGAGGGGCTGGACACTTACTTGCCGTCTGCCCGGGCGGGGGAGGGGGCTCTCCCTCCTCGCAGGACTTGAACTTGTAGCCTTGTGGCGAATTGACCGGCTGTAGACTCCTGGCTTAACAGTGGAGGCGTTTGCTTCGGCTGCTGCCCTCATTTCTCCACGGCCCCTCAGCTGACGCTCTCTGGGCCAGCCTCAACCCAAGCCCTCTGAGCGGGCTTCCTCCACCTAGTGCCCCCAGGAGGGTTGGAGTACGGCTCCCGTGATCCTCAGCGGCCTGTGGGAGTCCTAATGCAGCCGCTCTGGAGGGTGCCTGCTTGGGGAGGACGCCTGGCTGAGGGTGCTCTCTTGGATGCCCTGACCGATCGCCTTCGTTCGCCATCCAGTGCAGGGAGCCGGAAGGGCAACGGTGGGGCAGAACCAGGAACGGGGCTTTCCCACCAACGGCCCTGGGGCCTTTGAGCCGCTCGCATCCCTTTCCTGTGCAGCATGGATGCGGACACTCCTCTCGGGGGGCTCCGCACTCCTGCTCAGCAGCGCCCCTTCCCGTCCCCCTTGGGCCTGTGCCAGGCGGCTGAATTTGGCAACAAGCGCTGGCTTGGGCCTTGCTGTTCTGGTCCTGCGCCCCCGGGACGCCCTCACGCTGTTCCTCGCTAGGCTGGACGTCGTGCTGCGGACCCGGGCCGACCGCGCAGCGTTTCAGGGGTTCACGCCGTCGAATCATGGGGGTGCGCCGTGCGTGGCTTCCTGGGGTGAGGCGGCGCTTGCCGGCCCTTCGGCTCACCGCCCGCCCTCTGCCTTGTCTCGCCAGGAAGTGACGGCGCCATGGAGGGCGACAAGGAGGCCGCGGCCGGCACGCAGCCGGGCTCCCCGCCGGGCGAGAGAGCCTTCGCCTTCCCCGCCTGGGAGGAGGGCTCGGGCGACGAGAACGTGCTGGTCATCCACAGCCAGGTGGAGGAGGAGCAGCACAAGTGCCCACTCTGCGGAGAGGTCTTCGGCCAGCCGCTGAGCCTGCTGCGGCACCAGAAGCAGCGGCATGCGGGCGAGCGGGCCTTCGTGTGCCCCGAGTGCGGCCGCGGCTTCGGCCTCAAGCACAACCTCATCATCCACCAGCGCATCCACACCGGCGAGAAGCCCTTCGGCTGCGGCGCCTGCGGGAAGCGCTTCAGCCTCAAGCAGAACCTGCTCACCCACCAGCGGGTGCACGGGGGCGCGGGGCCCTCGGCCCGCCCGGCCTGCGGCGAGAGCTTCCGGGAGCAGCGGCTGCCGCTGGCCCACCCGCCGGGGGAGTGTGGCGGGGCGGCGGCCGCGGCCACGGCGAAGCAGGGCCCCCCCGGGCCCCCCCGGGGGCAGGCGCGCGGGAGGCCCCGGGCCGCCAGCGACTGCGGGGAGGGCTTCGCGCCCTTGCGGGAGAAGCCCCCCCGGGACGGCCCCCCCCGGGCCTGCCGCGAGTGCGGGGAGGGCTTCGTCGGCCGGAGCGGCCTGGCCAGCCACCAGCGGGCCCACCGGGCGGAGCGGCCACTCCAGGACAGCGAGGCCGGCCGGAGGCGCTTCGGCCCCAGGGAGCCCCCGCAGGGCCCGCACCAGAGGCGCCTCGGCGGGGACGCCCCCTTCCGCTGCCTGACCTGCGGGAAGGACTTCGCCCAGCAGGCCAGCCTGGCCGCACACCGGCGCAGCCACGAGGCGCTCAGCTGAAGTGCCTCCCGGGACCGCGGCCGAGCGGAGCCGAGCGGAGCGCCTGCCCGGACGGGGGCCGCCGGGGGCCTTCCTGGACGCCGGGTGCCGAGTGTCTGGGGGAGGGCGGCCCGGCTGGGCCCTGGGGGAGGGGGAGGGGGCGGGGGCTGTTGCGAGACCTCTGGCCGCGTGCCGCTGTGCGCCCTCCCGGACACCTGCAGGGGACCGTCCCGCTCCGGAGCAGCGCCCGTTCTCCAGGATGGACGCCTCCCCGCCAGATTTCAGCACGGGATGGGGGGCCTGTGTGTCGCGGCCCCTGCCGGCCCCGCCGCGTCCTCGTGTCCGGCCCAGGCTGCCGAGTCATCTGGATCTGCGCCCCATTCTTGGACAGCCATTTCCCCCCCAGCTCCATCCGCCGGCGCTCCCAGCGCTGCAGCGTCCGCCTGGGGCTGCAGGGGGAGGTGCCTACGGTTTTCTGCGCCCCGTTTGGGGGCCCTGCTTGTGCCAGCCCTGCCCTCCACGGACAGCTGAATGCCCTTTGCGGAGGCGTGGGGGGCGCTGCCAGGGTTGTGCCCAGGATGCCCCGTGTTGTTCTGGGTGCGAGGAGGGGCCCGAGTGAGTCCCCCGATGGGCAGTGCTGAGGCGGGCCTTCGGAGGTTGCCGCGGGGGCTGCCCTGGGGAGACGCCTCGTGCCAGAGCCCCCCCGAGCCTTCCGGCTCCCTGTGGACTTGCACCTGGGGGGGGCGGTGCGTGCAGAGTCGCCCCGACTTGTTCATCACTGGCCACAGAAGGGCCTCCACTGAGAGCCGCCCGGGCCCACGGCCTCGGAGGGCGGTGGCGAGGCCTGCGTGTGGGCGCTCTGGGAAGTCCGTGATGGCTGGAAGGCGGCTCGCCGGAGGGGCAGGTTCTAGGGCCTCGCGCATGGGGGGGGGGGGGGGGGGGCGCCTTTGCTCCCTCCACCAACTGGGCCTGTCTCTAGCTGCTCTGGCCCGTGGCCTGGACGCGGCTGGCGGTGTCTTCTGTGCTGGCCTCTGGCTGCTCTTGCGTTGCCTCCCCGGTTCCTGGGCTGGACCAGTTAACCCATTCCGGGCACAAGCCTCTGCGTGCAGAGACGCCCTGCCGCGCCCGGCGGCTGGGGAGCGCGTGTGCCGCGGGATTTCTTCCTGCCCAGACTTGCGCAGAATTGTGGCTTCGGTGTGTTCCAAGTGTTCTAAGCACTTCTGTTTAAGCAACATGTCCTGGGGTGGGGGGGGGGAACGCCCGCAAGCTTAAGCCAAAGCATCACTCCAAAGAAGGAGAAGGGGCTTTCTCCCAGAGCGCCCCTCCCAGAGTCGCATGCTGCCCCTCGCCTGAAGTACAGGGCCCGCAACCCAAAGCGCCCAACCGTCAGGCAGGTCTGGGGGTGGGGGGTCCCGCTGGTGGCCCTGACGGGGACTCTGGAAAAGGCCCCTGACGAGCGGAGCCGGACTTGGTGGGCGATGCGGGAAGGGGCACTGCACCGCCACCCGGCCTGATGCCCCCAAGCTCTGCTGGGCTGCAGCTCCTGCCTGCCTGGCTGGGAATGATGGGAGTTGCAGGCCAAGCACGCCCGGAGGTGCCGGGGGGGGGGTGCAGCCCCACCCCGTCTTCCTCACAGCCTAGCCAGGGCAGAGCCCCGTGCGGGAACGAGGCTGAGTGGACGGGCTGCTCTGTACATTGACGGTGGTGTGGGAGCGAGGCGTGAGCAGGGAGCGGAGGAAGGCCGCAGATCCCGCGTGGAATTCTGCCCACCGCCTTGCCCAGTCAACAGGCCACCAAAGGTGACTGGCTGGCCATGGAAGAGGAGAAGCGCTGTCCCCCAGTCTGCATGGAGGGGCAGGTTTCCGGTTCCCCGTCTGGTCGTAATAATCCACTCAGCGGCCCTCTGCACGTGCCGGCTGGCCCTCTTCCTCCGCTTGCGGTCCGCGCAGAAGGGGAGGCTGGAGCGGAGCCCCGGGGCCAGGCGAGGTTCCCGGCCGCTGCAGGTGGGTCTGTGTTCACACGCTCCCTCCAGCTTGTCTGCGTGGCGCTCCAGGTGCCCCCGGCTCCCGGGGCGTCGGCAGCCCAAAGGGGAGCCGCCCCATCGGAAAGCGGCTTCTGTGGCTGGCCGCGTGGGGCGGAGGGAGGCAGTGGGGGCCGTTGCTGCATGCACGCTGGTTTCCTGCCCTCTGGCCGGGGCAGTTGGGAGTGACAGGCCAGGCCCCGCGGAGAGCGCCAGGCTGCCTGCCCCGCTCCCTGCGGGTCACATGGTGTGGCGACCGGCCCCGTAGGAGCTGGGCAAGGGGTGACACCGAAGCCTTCCTCCCCGCAGAGGCTCCTTGCTCAGAGCCACTCGCCCCCTGCAGGCGGGCGCTGGGCTGCTCCTCCACCCCCGGCAGCCTCCAGACCAGTCCCTGGCTGGGCCGTGCCGGCTGTGCTGCCAGCCAAGGGCCTGTTGGCCCGGCTGCTGCTGGGGCGGTCTTTCCCAGCGGGGCAGGATGGGGCGGCTCCTCGTGTGGGCCACTCCGTGGAGAGTGTGGGGGGAAGGCTGCCCAGCCGGCCCGCGGCTGCAGGGCGGGCGCCCTTCTCGGAGGCAGGAGGCAGCCGCGAGAGGCCGTCCTTGGCGCAGGATCCGGGGCCTTCAGGGACCGGCCTGCGTCCGTGGGGCAGCACTGGCTCCTCGGTTCCCCCCGCCATCAGGGCCCCGGCTGCTCGTCCTCTTGCGCCAGCAGGCTTTGCGCCGGGACGCCCCACTGAGCGAAGGCAGCTCTGCCCCTCGGGCCTCGCGTGGTCCCTTTGGGGGGCCGTCCTTCTGCTTCCTGCCTGCCTTTGAGACCGAGGACCGCAGCCCCGAAGGAGCAGGCGCAGTGGGTTTGGGGGGGTGCCAGGGGCCAGGCTGGAGGCGACCGGTGCCCCACGGCCCAGCTCTGCGTGGGAGAGTGGGGAGGCTTTCCCTGGGAGACGCTCGGCGCGCCCCTTTCCCTCCCGCCACCTGCTTGCACCTCCTTGTTGAATAAAGTTCTGTTGGCTTTTGTCTCTGCTCCTGGCGGTGCTTTCTGGCCAAGCGGCGGAGGGAGGTGGAGAGGCCGGGGCAGCTCGGCTGGGGTTGGTGGTGGTTCCCGCGGAGACATGCCTGGGGCTTCGGGCCGCTTTCCGCGGTGCTGCGGGGCCGGCGTTTCGGCCCGGAGCGTGTGCGCTGCGCGCCCAGTGTCCTCCACTGTCCAGCCTATGCAGGCGCGGGACGCGCTGCATAAAGAGCGGCACGCGGGCAAATCGTGTTCCTGGGACTGTTTATTCTGCAGAAGGGCCTCTGCCCGCGCTTCATTCCTCTTCCGCTCCGCCCAGCAGCCCAGGCGCTCTGGGTGGTTCACGCAACCCATAAAAACAAGGCAATAGCATAGCGTGAAACCTTATCACAGTGCAAATGTTTTAAAACCAAAGAATTGGGAACAGCTCCGAGCAACACAAGGAAGAGCAGCCCTGTGGAGAGGCCGGGCAGCGCGCGCTGGTCCCCTTGACCCCTGCAGAGTGCGCTCACCTGGACGGCCTTGGCATGAAGGGCATCTCAGCCAGGTGCCGGAAAGAAGGCAAGGTTGGGGCCGGGTGCGGCACAGTGGGGAGGCCATGCCACAGGTGGGCCGGGGGGGGCCCACATAGAAAGCCCTCCCTGTGGCCGCCCTCCGGGCCTCCCTTGGAGTTGCACTTGGGGGAAGCCCCAGGTGTTGACGGTGGAAAGGATCTCTGGCCGTGGCTGCTAGGTTGTGTGCCCGGCTGTCGTGCGATGTGGGAGAAGGGAGGGGGGCCGAGGAGGCTCTGCGGGGCAGCAAGTGGCGCATGTCCCGTGGTGAATTGCCGCATGGCTGGGTTGTCCGGCGAGGCCCGGTTCCCACGGTGGAGTTCGGCTCTTGTTCCCGTAAGGCTCCCCAGGGCATCTTTGCAAGACGAATGCCCGTTGGGCAGCAGCTCCGCCAAAGCAGCCCATTCTCGGTGGAAGTTTCCACCTCTATCGCCCTATGTTTGAGCCACTCCGATTGTGGGAGTCATATAAAGTTCGATGCCCATTTCAAGTCGAACGGCAGCCTTTGCTTGGCCCTCTCGACTGACGCCCCTTGTCCTGCATGTGTCGGTTGACGGCACTTTAAGATTCCCCCCCTTCAGCGAGTTGTTGGTCCCCGTGTTTGCGGAATGGACGTTCTGTGTTTAATTAACTTCAATGGGCGGCCGTTGCGTTCATCTTCACCCCTACGGGGTGCACGGGAACTGAGAGCGTGGCCACGTGCAGGCGCACGGGAAGGCACCGTCTTAGCGTGTCCCTTCAGAAGGAAGAGTGGCGGGAAGGAAGCCAGGAGATGGAAAGGGACGGGAAAGCGGCAGAAGACAGCGGGCCCAGGAGAAGCAGGCCCAGGGAAGGGAGAAGGAGAGCTGGCCGGCCGGAAAGAGCAATCCGATGAGCAGCAGGAAGGAGCAAGCCGAGACTTGGCAACAGGGATGGAGGGGGGGCTCCTCATGAGGGAAAATGGGGGGTGCTTTGGGGCGGTGCTGGAGGCTGCTCCGCCAAGGTCGAGGGCCGACTCCTTTCCCTCCCTGCTGGAACGAGATAAGGGCCACAGCAAATGTACCAAGATAGAGAGGAATTTGAAGGGCTGGCTGGCTGGCTATTTCCAAAGAGGCAGTGGTAAAGGCCCCAGTCCAGTTTTTCGGCAAACCATCCCGGGGGGGCCTCCCCACTTTCTAGAGAAAAGGCCGCCGTCCTTCCTTCATGCCCTGGCCTCCTTCCACAGCGTCTCTTCCGTGTGTGCAGGGCCAGGCGCGTCCCGCGGGCCCAGGTTGCACAGCGGCTGAGCTGCAGGCCAAGGTTCAGCAGGGGCCGCCCCGGTCGGCTGCCCACGAGTCGAACTGGAGAATAAAACAGTCCCGAAGTGGCGGAGCCGGTGGTCGCAAGGGGGCGGCGACGCGGCTCGTGAAGGAAGCGGCCTCTGACCTGGCGTGAAGCGTGGGCCGGCTTCTCCCTGTTAACGCCGCCA